AATTCTGAACATTGATATTTACTCAGATACATTGAAAACTCAGTCCAAAAGCTGAGCATGAATGTTTATAGCAGCTTTATTCATAATTGCCAAAATGAGCAAACAACTGATATGTCCTTTAGTGGGTAGATGAGTAACCAAACCATGGAACAACCAGACAATGGAATATTTCCAGCACTCAAAAGAAACGAGCTACAAAAAGACATGGAAGAAACTGAAATGTGTGTTCCTAAATGAAGCAAGCCAATCTGAAAAGACTACATGCTGTATGATTCCAACCATATGACATTCTGTAAAAGGCAAAGCTATAGACAGATGAGTGTTGCAAGACGTTGAGGGAAGGAAGACAGGAATGAATAGGTGGAGTAATGAAACCATTCTGTGTAACTGTGATGGTGGCTACGTAACATTATACACTTGTCAAAAGTGCACACCACCAAGAGTGAACACTAATGTAAACTATCAACTTTATTTAATAATAATATATCAATATTCACGCATCAACTAACAAATGCACCCTGCTAGTGCAATGTTACTATTAGGGGAAACTACAGCTGGAGGTGAAGGGCGAAGGCGGGACATAGGAGAGCTCTCTGTACTTTCTGCTCAGTTTTTCTAGAACCTGAAACCACTCTAAAAATAATGTTTATTCATTGAAAAAAGAAAGACTAAAAAGAGTGCTCACTGACACCTAGTGCCTGGCACAGGATATCCTCCATAAACATTTTTGAACAAATGGATGAATATAAATGAGTCAGTCAGCAGACGAATCAGCAGAACCCAGGCCTTGAGTCCCACATCAGTACTTCCTCTTGTACATCAGTGGTAAGTTCATAGTATAATTTATTGTCCAAACCAAGATATTGAAGAGTTAAATGGGGTGCCATAGGTGAAATCAGAGCTGTCCCAGAGATCACAAACTGGAGAGCCTATAAATTTCATCTTGCCTCCAGAATTGTTTGGCCTCACGTATGGATGTCTCACACAATATTCTTTAAAAATGTGAATCTGTTGTCTACACTTAACACTGGAAAAAAAATTATATAAAAATGTGAATTCTGACTTTTCTTGGTAAAGATCTGGTCACACGGGGCCACATTCTGCACAGTAGTAAATGGCTGGAGTCTGATCACAGCTGCCTGCTTTGTGAACATGTACCTTCCTATTTGCCACAGACCCCACTACTCTCTTTTGCATCCCCAGCTCTAGGCTGAGTGTGAGTTTCTATCTACCATTGCATTTACACTATTTTGGTTTTATGTATTTTTGTGATAAAGTTAAGAAAATGGAAACTATTTCTTGTGTAGTCACACTGCAGGGAGAAAGACACATTGCAGGGACAGTCCCAGACCACCACAATAAAGTGGGTGACATAAATTTTTTGGCTTTCCAGTGCATGCAAAATTTATGTTTACACTATAGTGTGCAAAACGCACATACCTTACTTTTAAAATACTTTATTGCTAAAAAATGTTAACCATAATCTAAGACTTCAGCAAGTCATACTCTTTTTGCTGGTGGAGGATCTTGTGAAAACAACAGTAATAGCAAAGTACAACAAAGTGGCCCACAATAAAATGAGATATGCCTATACTCATGTCATGGTTCAAAGCAGGAAATAACAAAAGGATCAAGAGGGCCCATATGTCTTGCACCCACTCTGCTTTGCTCTCAAACAGTAGGCATTCTTGGCCTCTATAGGAACTTGAGTTTGCCCCCTCTGGTCTGTGCTCCTCATCTCCCCAGGCCCCAGACTGCTGGCCTTTAGAATTTTCTCAGGCTGCCACCCACTGTGGAAATAGCTAGATGTGAGGGGAAAACAATGGGCATTATTGAAGCTTACATTTTTATTGTTATCCAAATTCAACATTGTTCATCATCAACTTTTGGTGGAAATTATTGCTTCTGTTGTTTTTCTTAATCACCTCCAAATGTAACTGGAGAGTGAAACAGAGCAGCAGAGAATACAGTGTCCACCTTTCCTTTCTATGAACATGTGTTATGGGAACACTCGAACCCGGAATTCTGTTCATCTGGGCATTCGTTCACTCATCAAGCTCTGGCTATACTTACAGACAGCAGGCGCACCAGGGTCCCCAGTAGGTTTTCTTATCTTCGGTAGAGGCAACGACACAAGGGGAAATGTGGGGATCAGCTAGTCTGATGGGGGCATGTTGATGTTCAGGTGCAGAATTCGTAACTAGTTGGGATCTGCTCAAGTGTTTCTGAAGCAGGAGATGCATGTGATCATAGCTAGCAATTGTGTGGGGGACAGCCCCAAAGGCTGGGCGCCAGCTAAGAGGCTGTAAGGAGAGATCCACAAGGCAGAGACAGTGGAGGACAGATAAGACAGCCAGCTTAAGGTTAGCTTAGTAATTCACAGATGTGAAGAGAGCCTGAACTAAGAGACAAAGAATCAAATGATTCAGAGATTGTTATATCAGGGTTTTAAGATGCCAAAAGCATGATCAAAAAAGAAAAAAAGTAGGGCCCCATCAAAATTAAGTTTTATTTTGCAAGAGCTAAAAGAATGACAAGATAACGTATATACTTAGATAAAATATTTGCAAATCATATACTCAACAACAGATTTGTATTTAGAATATAAAAAGAATTTTCCAAACTCAACAGTAAAATACCAACTAAGAGAGTATACAAATAATATATATATATGAAAAGATGTCCAACATCATTAGCCTTTAGGAAAATACAAGTTGAGATCACTACACACATATCAATAAAAACTAGTAATGCCACCACATGCTGACAAGAATACAGAAAAACAAGGTCGCTCATACATTCCTGGTGGGAATGCAAAATGGAATCCCCACCCTGGAAAATAGTTTGGATTCATATCTAAACATGCAACTACCATATGACCCAGCAATTGTACTAATGTGCATTTACTGCGGAGAAATGAAAACTGTGTTCACATACCAAAAAGTGTGAATGTTCATGGCAGCTTTATTCACAGTAACCCCAAACTGGAAACAACCCAGATGTCCTTCAGTGGGTAAATGGTCAACAATCTGCTACGTCCATGCCATGGAAAGCTACTGTGCAACAAAACGGACAAAGTTGATGCATGCAACAGTTTGAATGGGTCTTAAGGGCAGTGTACTGAGTGGAAAAAAGCAATCTCAAAAATTATACACTGTAAAATTCAATTGATCGAACATTACGAGAATGACAAAATTATGGAAATGAAGACTAGCTTAATGATCACCAGGGCTTGGGGATTGGGGTGGGGTACTGTGTCAAGGTGGCATGAGAGAGATCTTTGTGATGATTAAATAGGTCTGTATCTTGTTGTGGTGGGAGTTTCACAAATCTCCTCCTACGATAAAAGTGCATAGAACTATATCCATACACAAGTAAGTACATGTAAAATTGGTGGAATCTTAATTAGGTCTGTGGATTGTTTTGGTGCCGATTTCCTGGGTTTAATATTGAATAACAATTAATGCAAGTCGTTGCCACTTAGAGAGACTTGGTGAAGGGGACCTCTAGGTACTATTTTATTTTTTTTTGCAACTTCCTGTTAATGGATAGTAAGAATGAAATAATTAAGAATTAAAAAGCTAAGTAAAAAAAACAAAAGGTACACCCAAACATTTGCATACAGGGCCCTCCCTGGTGGCACAGCGAGTTAAAGCACAGCATGAAGAAGCCACTTCAGCATGAGTTCGATCCCTGCCCCGGAGGTGATCCACATGGCGCAGCAGACCTCTCCTGACCCTCCTACTGCTCCCCTCAGCAGTGTATTTCTTTAGCTGGCCTGTTCTGCTCCCCACTCTGTCTCTGGTGAATCCTCTCACCACCCCTGCATCTCTGGCCTGTACCCCAGTTCTGAATGCATAAATAAATAAATCTTTTTAAAAATTGCATACAACACAAAGTTATTATGCTGAGTGAAAGAAGCCAAGCTTAAAATCTTACATACTGCTTGGTCCTGTTTATATGACATTCTTGGAAAGACAAAACCTACAGTGATGGAGAATATGTCACTGGCAGCACTACAAAAGGATATTGCGCGGCATTTCAGAGGGCAATGAAACTGTTCTAGTTGATGGATCTAAATATATGTTAGAAATCAAATCGCTTCACATACAAAAGAAATGTCCATTTTATTGTACGTTCATTTAAAAATTAAATTAGATAAGCAAGTAGGTACGGATTTGTTCATTTTCTTTTCTCCCTTCCTTTCTTCCATCCATCCATTCATTCAGCTACTTACCGAGCACCTAGGATATGTGAGGCTCTGTGCTAGACTTCGGAGCTCAACCTAAGTAAAATAGCCCAGGGCCCTGCCCTCATGGAGCATTCTTTCTGGTTCAAAGGAGAAGTGGTCAGTTGAGTTTAAAGCTTAGAATTTCTGCATGGGGAAGACTATGAGGGACCAAGAGAGCAAAATTTTGAGTTCTAGAGCCCAGTCCTATGGGATTTCAAGTTATTACGTTTCCATCAGAGACTCTCAGGCCTAAGGGGAGTCAAAAGCCCCCAGTTCACATCTCACGGGTATTTAGGAGAGAAATGCATGCAGCTAATCAGGAACAAACACTTGGAGTAGGGGAAAATTTGAAGCAGTTAATGAAATGTGAACTCTGAAAGTGTTGCCCGTATTTGTACTTGTGGAGGGGCTTAATACAACCATTCTTTTAGCTCATGATTTGGTAGACTGGCAATTGGACTGGGCTCAGCTAGCTGGTTCTTCTGCTGGTTTTGGCTGGCTCATGCATCATTACAGTCAACTGGCTGTCAAAGTCCTCATTCAAATGTGTAGTAAATACTGGTGGTTTCTGGAGTATATGTTTCTGGGCCATATGTCTCTTACCATCCAGCAGGCTAGCCTAGGTTTGTACATATGATGGGGTCTTGGGGTTCTCAAGAGCAATAAGAATACAAGTCTCAAAATGAAAGTGTTTTTTTAAACAGTTTTATTGAGGTATAATTCACATATGTTACCCAAATTTGAATTTTGTTTTCTCTCCTGTTTGCAGGGAATCTGAAGCATGTGGTCTAGTTGACAAAAAGAGATCAGGTTTCCAGAGCTGAGGAGCAGTGCCTGTAATGAAGACAGCGTGTTTATGCGAGCAGTGTGTGGAATTTGTGACTGCAGGGGAAATTTGGAAGAAATTACTTCCTGAAAATTTCCAAGGGGCACCAAAGTGGCAGCTGGCCTCCTGGGGTGAGGCAAGCAGGCACCCCAGAGGCCTCAACTAGGCCTAGGGGAAGAGAGAGATTTCCAACATTTTAAAGTGTTTATTTTTAAAAAACACACAAATGCCATTTTTAATCTTTGAAAATTATTTTTAAGCAAGTTGGGGAGGGGGTATTTTTATTTTCTTAAAGGAGACAGATCAGAGGTTGGAGGAAAGCATGGAGCTTGGGTCATAAGTGTGTGGGACAGGGGCAGGGAGAGAAGGCAGCTTGTGGGCCTCAGGACCCTGTAGGTAGACCCCTGGGCAAGCCCTGGGAGCCTGACTGCTCAGCAGACTGGGAGGTGTGGGAAAGGCCAGCTGTGTTGTTCTTAGAATCATGGATCTATTTTGTTTTTTAATTAAATCTTTGAAAACCTACCTCTTTGTCCTATTGTCCTCATTGTAAAGTGCCACTGACAGCACACACAGTTTGGAACATTTCCTCTCACTGAAGTAGCAAGAATAATCCTGCTTCTTCCACACTCAGGTCTGGCTCAGCCTAGGAGGCCAACTCTGGGTGCTGGCCCCCACCTGGGGAGCTAGTGTGTCCCCAGACAAGTTCCTGGATACAGAAAACCAGGCTGTATTCTGCACTGAGGCCCTTCCTGCGCTCTCAAGAACACAGGCTCTGAAATCAGGGAGAAGGTTTTGCCTCCACCCTGGGGAGGAGCTATCCTTGTCAGGGACAGAGTTAGGGGTGGGAAGGGGCTGTGGCCTGTCAGAGCAAGAGGCATGTTGATGGCTGGCTGAGATAATCCCCCCTCCCCCCCTCCCCCCCCCTCGTCAAGTATAGATAGTGAGCAACTTGAGAGAATGCGATACAGTTGAATATGTTTGTGTACCTAACCTTGGTGGAGATGCGGGGGAGGGGGGGGTTGAATAGATGAAGAAGCCAAGGGACGGCCAAAGTCATGATTTTGTCATTTAATTCACCGAATATTTACGAAACGCCTTCAACGATTGGGACAGGCTAAGAGAAGGACACAGTCCCACTGTAGTTGCCCAGGAGCTCCTGGACCAGAGCTCCCCAGCACAGGAGAGAAGCAGATCCCAACAGCTTTCACACTGGACCGCCAGAAAGAGTCTATGGCAATGGGATCGCTGAGGAAACACCATCTCCAGTCTTTCAGTGTGCATAAAAGCCAAACGGAGCCTTGTAGGGTGACTTGGGTTTCTCCAGATCTCTGGGGGCACGTGTGAAGGCCTCAGGAGAGACCGCTACCTGCTGAAGTGGTAAACATAACCAGTGCTGCATTTTCCTGTCGAGGGGAATGGACCAGAGTGAGAAGGAGTCTTTCCCAGTGGGCAGCCGGTAACATTTCTACTCACCATGGCTGGCACTGGCCAGTGCCAGCTCTGACCAGAGAGTATTGGAATTATTTTTATATTGACTAAATACTGGGTCTCCCTGAGGCTGGTCCTTCCCACACATGAGAGGGGGCACCACCTCAGTGGCCTTCAGGATTACTTTGCATTTGATCACTGTTAAAAATATACGCTAGAACAGGGGCTTCTCTGGTGATGCAAGGAGTTAAGTCTCAGCACTATGAAGTTATCACCAGACACTGCAAGATGAATTTTATCCCCAGCCAGAGAGGTGACCCACATGGCACAGCAGACCTCTCCGGTCTCACCTGCTGCTCCCCTCAGCAGTGTATTTCAGTAGATCCATTTGTTGTGCTCCCCACTCTGTCTCTGGTGAATCCTCTCACTCCCCCAACATACACATGTACCTCTGACCTATACCCCAGCTCTTGTATGCAGAAATAAAATAAATCAAAAAAAATGTATAGATTATAACTGTTCGTAATAGTTAAGATATGGAAACAACCTAAATGTCGCAAAATAGATGAATGGATTGAGATGTTTTATGTGTGTGTGTGTGTATGTTTGTATCTATACTACTCAGTTTACCAAAAAGATAAATTCACCACTTGCAGCAATGTGGATAGAGCTAGAAGGGATTATGCTAAGCAAAATAAGAAGGAGAAAGATAACTATTGAGTGGTTTCATTTATAAGTGGAATATAGCAAAACTGAACAAAGGGTAAGGAAAAAGAAAAGGTTTGCAAGTTGACCACTGATCTGTGGCCTCCAGCAGGACAGGGGACGGAGAGGTCGAAACGGGGAGGGAAGAGCACAGGGATGATGGGGATGGATCCCAGGTGCTGTGGCGGTGGGAGAATTAAGGGTCTACACCTGAGGGGTAAAACCAACTATAGTCCAAAAATGAATGACAATGCAGAAAGTAAGTAAATAAATCTAATTATGGATATATAAATATGCCATAAAAATCTCAGATAGAACCAAGAATCATTTTTAATTCCTAAAAATTAAAATTGACATACCCAAAGGTGGGCACAGCATTCATTAAACAGTGGGAGAGATCAAAGAATTGTTCTGCTCAGCTTACACCATCAAACTGTACTCATTCAAACTGCCGCTAAAGAATTGCTCCATGAAGAATGATAAGAGCAAAGGAGGGGAAAGACGGAAAGGAAATAAACCAAAATGTTGACCAAGATGGGCTTCAGAAGAGAACGGATGGTGTGATTTATATCCTTTCTACCTTTAAAAAAAAAGATTTATTTATTTATTCATACAGAACTGGGGTACAGGCCAGAGATGCGGAGGGTGAGAGGATTCACCAGAGACAGAGTGAGGAGCAGAACAGGCACATCGATGAAGTACACTGCTAAGGGGAGCAGCGGGCGGTCCGGAGAGGTCTGCCGCGCCTTGTGGTCACCTCCAGGGCAGACGGGGATGGAACTAATGCGGAAGTGACCTAAGCTTCCTAGTGCTGTGCTTTAACCCGCTGCGGCACCAGGGAGGGACCCTTTCTACCTTTTAAGATTTCCCTACTTTTCTTAAGGCATCATGTTCAAGTTTGATAGTACGAAAAAGAAACTGAAAAGAACTGATCTGCAGGGAAATCTACAGGTGAGTGTGAGGAGCAGTGGGTCAATAGGACTACCCAGAATGTTCCAAGCCAGCCTGGAATGCCAGCCAGACTGGCGGGATCCTGATTTACAGTTCACTAGAAGGTCTTTTTAGAGAAATTAGCTTGAGGGTGGGGCAACTTTCTGCCCCATGTGAGCTTGACTTCCTTTCTGGAACAGCTGCTTTTGTGTCTGCAGGGACCAGTCATAATGACCATAATAATAATCATGCCAAGAAATCATTGGAATAGGCCTCTTTTACAAAGCTCTTCCATTTACAGGTTGTCACTATCTATCCTGCTGGGTGAGTATTATCGCCCCCATTTTATAAATTCACAAACACAGGCTACAAACTGTACAGTAGCTTGTCCAGCCGTAAGTGGTAGAACCAGTAGGCCAACCCAGCTGGACCTGCAAGTTCCCTTCCTTTTTCCACTGCCCCATACCTAGTGCCACTAAAATCGTTTTCAATTGTGACTTCCAAGTAAATATCTTTCTTATAGCTTCCAAAGTCCAAGCTGTACTAAGCCACCCGCTGCTCCCAGGCCTTACTTCAAGGACTTCATTAATTAGTCGTGTGCTTCTCAGCACATTTCTCAACCTTTTGGGGGTCTGTTTCCTTCCTGCAAAGTGGGGTGAATCACACTTGCACTGCAGGGCTATTTTGAGTTCTGGATGAATTGTCACAGATGGAAGGGCTTTGAAAAGATTCTAAAGCATTGTGTGTAGGATGGTCTGCAATGAAAATGGGTCCAGAAAAGCTGACCTCTGCAAAAAAGCCAGTGCTCCCAGGAGCCCCGCTCTGAGAGGCTGAGGAGTTTAGGCAGTGCCTGCAACTCAAGAGTTAAGAAAATAACCATTTAAAAAAGAATATACACATTGAATAAACCTATATTTGCATAAAACATCTTTGGAAAGATGCTCCAGAAATGAGGGCACCTCACTTGCCTCCAGGCAGGGGCGCCAGGTGGCGGGTGGCAGGGGGGTGAGGGAGATTTGCACTATGTTCTTTTTGTACCTTTTGATTTTGAACCTGTGAGTTCAACCTGCCCCCCCCCCATAATGTTTTTAAGCCAATGGAAAAACCTCAAGCAAGTTTCCCTTTGCAAGGTGGTGGGGGTTGGGGACTGGGGGGTGGACCTTCCTTTGCTGCTGTCAAAGAGAGCAGTATATTTCCAATTCTATATTTAAAAGATTCTTTTTAAAGCAGAAAGACTTCTATATAAGAAAATCAAATATTGTCATTCAACAAAGGAAAAAAACAACAGGAATAAGAGGACTATAAGGAGGAAGAAAAAGAAGGAAAATCAACAGCCATCTAGACACGAGAGCCGGATTTGACATCTCTTAACTCCCTATAGAGAAAGCTGCAGTAGCTCCTTCTCCTCTGCCTTTGCCAAGGACAGGGCTTCCCAACACTCTGCTCGGTGCTGGACACCCCCTCCCAGCCCCAGTTAACAAGCAGCACCTCTGTGCACAAAACAGATGCACTTCAACCTAAGACTGCCTGGGTTTAAGTTCCCTCCCCCTCACCAGCTTTGTGACTTTGGTAACTCCCCTAGAGTAACTCCCTTTCTCTGAGCCTAGTCTCCCCATCAGTCAAATGGAGATGACAACCTGTACCTACCTCACAGTGTCGTTCAAGTGATCAAAGAGACAAGGAAAGTAAGCACTTTGTACATATCAGATATTGGCATGAGACAATGCTCCTGCCCCCAAAGGTGAACCCAATCTGGACAGGGACTCTTCCTAAGGTTCCCTGGCTTCGAGAATTAGGGAAACTGTATGCAAATTTGTGTGGTTGTGTGTGGCTACAAGGAATCACAGCTATTGCCAGACATGCAACACTCACAAGGGTTTTATGATTCTCCAAAAATGGTACCTGCAAGTGTAGAGGTAAAGACAGATACAGTTATTCTTCTAAGACAGGGGACCCCTCCCCCCAGGGTCTCTGCACATGCTAATCCTTCTGCCAGGAATGCCCAGATCTTTCCCAGATTGGCTCCTTCTCATTCCCTTCTCAGCCACTATGTCACCATCTCAGCAAATACCCTAGCCGCCCCATCTAAAGTAGCCACCCTGCCCTCTCTATTTCAAACACCACTTGTTTCTACACCATGTATCATCGTGTATTCATTTTGTACTCCCTACTCTTAAACACACACATATAGATACACACTCCAGAAGGGTGGTAGCTTCAGCAGTTTCACTGCTGTCTCCCCAGTGTTGGTAAAGGACCTGGATCCTCAAATTCTTAACACAACCTATGGAATGGCAGATCTTTATACTAAGACAAAGCATTACATTGTCAGAGGAGCAGCTAGAAGTCCATAAGGGCTGCAAGCAGGCGATGTGAAATTCAATTTGATCTTAGACGGGGCATCAGAGGTGGGCAGTCCAGGCAAAGGCACATGAAATTTAAGGAAGTTACAAGCAGCT